TCAGATGTTCTGACCTACGTACAGTATTTCGTCCAGGTCCGTGAAGCTGGGTGGCGATATTGGAATTGTGGGAAATTTCAGTGTTTATTTTTTCAGATTACACAGATTGAATATTTACAATAGACTGGAGATGCTGTGTGATCGCCCACGGGAAATACAAAGTCCAATGCAGAACAAATAAGACGAGTGTTGAAAACTTTGTTTGGACGTGTCCTTATGTAAAAATGTAACTACCAAACCAATAATGCGTTAGTTGCATTAGCATTCATTAATACAGTCGTCATAAAGTTATATCGAGAAACTTTTTTTTTTTTTTTTTTTTCTTTTTTGTGGCTTGCACGCTTTCAACTTGTATTTTTGGTGGGTTTTTTTTTGTTTGTTTTTTTTCTTGTATGTTAGAGGTTAAAACGGTATTAAATCCAAAGCCAAACATGTCATCTATTGCAGCATCATTAGATTTGGTGGCTACTTTAGTTGTTTTTTTTTTTTTTTCAGAATCTGTCGCAGCCGTGGATGGTAGCCAATCAGCTTCTAACTTCAGCTTGTTCAATTAAGCCTTGACAATAAAACCTGGAAGCTGGTTCCCATGCAGAGCTGCACCAGATTTGCACCATGCAGCTTTAGTAAACAACCCCCTATGTGTGTGTGTTTGGACAGAATGCCCATACTGCTTATCAATTTAAAAAATCACCAGCATGTTAAATGACAGTGATGGCCTTTACAAATGTGTACCCCTCTTTGTAGGGTTGCCACCTTTTTTTCTTGAAGCCAAACCCGAACACTTGAGAGGCACAGGGCAAATTTTTTTTTTTTTTTTTTTTTCCTGTAGTATACACCATAGGATTATAAAAGACCTGGGACACCTTGGGGTGTCCCAAGCATAATAGCAATGTGAACAGTGGTTGTGGGCAAATTTGCTTTTGCTGACATCACAATGCAATCTCTGACCATCTCTTATATCATGTCCATAGTCATTGACTATATACTGGTGTCTGACACCAAACATTCACTGAATTTTATCTGCTGCCCTTTATCAATGGCGAGGGCTGCACTGGAGGCCCCCCATATCAAGAAAGCTGATCACTACTGAGGTAGAGATGGCTCCAAAGGAAATGGCAGGCACCAGACTATTTTTAGGAGGAATAGGCCTTCAAGTTGTAAAGTACTACTTGCCTGTGAGTCATAGCTGAAAATGTGGCCAAAAATCTAAAATACTGTAACGGTTAATCGTTTCTTATCCCAACCCTTAACATACTGCAACCTAATCCGAACACGTAACCCTTACTGCTATAGTGAGTTTCAGAATTACCCTTTAACCTCCCAACCTATAGGTCTTGTTCTGTCCTGTCCACTGGCCTGGCAGATCCACAATGTGCAGCCCATGAACAACCAGTCCCATTCCTGCCTATTGAGAGGCCCTCTGTTTGGATCACATGGATGTGCCAGGATTGCTGGCAGTTAAGCCAAAGACTAGGGTGTACAAAATTTCTGGACGGCTGCACTCTGCATAATCCCAGTTTATTGGAACAAGCACATATACTCGACTCCTTGCACCCCCCTGTTTTTTGCCTGTATGAGGATCACATGGAAGATCATATAGAAGACCCTCCTGGAGCATCATTGGTTTGGTTTGTGTTGTAAATTCAGGTATGCAGAAGACCTTTGGGAAGGAAGGGGTAGGTAGGGGCTGGTGCTTAGTGATTTTAATATTGCAAAAGTAGATGTACTTTAATCCTCTCTTAACACTTAAGATTTATCCCCCTAAGATCTAACATTTTAAAGTTGTACTAAAGTCTTTCTCATTTTTTTTTTCATCAAGACCTCAGAGCAGCTAAGTTTTATACACAAAAAAATTTCTTTAATGGCAAACACATTTTCCCATATTTGAGATGCCTCCTCTGACCACCTCTGCGCCCTTTCCATGCATTTCTGGTAACGGAGGGCGCACTTCCAACATATTGAAAGTCATGTGATCATTGCTTGAAGTCCCATTAACAGTACTACTGCGCATATTGCACCCCTTTGGTCATTGTGAGGGCACTGCCTGTTCCGAATGGACAACGAATGCTAGTTAAGCTTATGCTTTTCCTCTGTGACATAGCTGCCTCAACTGCTGTCAGTTACTTCCCTTGGAGGAGGAGCATTGGGTGTTTCATCTGTTTAGTGTCCTTCCGAGCTGCCTGTGCATGTCTGTGTGGACTACAGTTCTACATGAGGACACTACCCGCTCAAACAGGCATGTAATGGTGGCTCTGGCAAGATATGCGTACAGCTTCAGTTGCCGCTTTCTCTGGTTTGAATGATCATTTCAGCATTTTGATTTACACTAATCAGCCATAACTTTATGACCACTGACAAGTCAAATGGAAAAACATTGGTTATCTTGTTACATTGGCATCTGAAGTTCGGGGGGGGGGGGGGGGGTGTATGTTTGGCAGCAAGTAAGCATGTTTGTCCATGCAGTTCATGTTTTTTGAAAGCAGAAAAAAAATGGGGTCAGTTTGTTGCATTTGAGGCTGCATAGTCAGACTGGTCAGGGTGTCCATGTTGACTCGTGTCCACAGCCAAAACTCCTACAGGGGGCACATGAGCATCAGAACTGTATTACAGAGCAATGAAAGAGAATATGGCCTGGTCTGATGAATCATGTTTTCTTTTATATTAGATGGCAATGGAATGCAGTATGGAAAGTAGGCTAGCTGGCAGAAGCAGTGTAATTCTTTGGACAGTATTCTGCTAGGAAACCTTGGTCAGCAACCATGTTTAGGTAGGTGGTATGTGTCCTAACATCCACATGAAAAGCAGGACCCAAGTATACCCTGTCACGATCGCGGCGTCAGACCCCAGACCTTCTCACCAAACCTGTGACCGAAGGACTGGCCGATGTGACGTGCGTAACAATGCTGCACCCTGCACAATGATTTTCCAGCTAATGGATACCGATCGATGTGCCAGCAGCCTGAATCGATTGTTACTGGGTCAGGTTACGCAATTAACCCCTTCACACTGCCACCACCTCCTTTTTGATCAGAGAAAGAGGAAACTCTGCATTCAGCTATAACACTATAATGGTTGATATAATCGACTGCATAACCTGGTCATAATACAGGCCTGTTATACAGAGGGTTAAAACAAACAGTAGCATCTCTTTAAAGGCAGGGATTCATAAATTGCAATTAAGAGCTATAGAAACAGTTCAACACTTTCAGAAAGAGAGATTTATTACTAAAAGGGTCAAACGGGTGCAATAAAAATATTTACAGAGAAGATGTAACTAAGAGAGAGATATAGATATATAGAAAGCACAGCAAAGAGATAACAGGGAGGAGTTAAAGGGTTAAGTTGCTTGCCATTAAGCCTTGGATGTAAGCAGGTCATGTTTCAGAGTGAAAGGCACAGGTCTCCCCAGGTGGTATATTGATAAAAAATTGGGAGATTTTTTTCAACTAACTACTCTTAGGCTTGATAGCCTGCTTTAAAGTTTCTCAGCAGGGGGTGGTTCTGAAGTAAAAGACCAATCCCCTGTTTAGGGAGGGATCGTCGAGCGGAAACCCTAAACTGGAGCCCACATCTTTCATAATTCATATTCTGGTTCATAACTTCCCATTTGCACAAGCAACAGTCCACCCACGGGTATATTATGCAGACAAGCCTGGGGTTTATTTAGATCTGAATTATGAAATTGTATGCTACACGGTTCGAGATCTATTTCTCTGCCTTCCCTTGCGTCCGAGATAAGACGAGTGACCCATCAAACTGTTCGCCTGTTCACTTTTATGTCAGTCTCTCATATTCCAAGATATGAGACATAGGGGAAAAATTGATTTCTTAAAAATGTTATCTGGTGTGGGCTTCTTGGTAATGCCTTGAACTCCTAGGAAGGCTCCGTTATCTTTTCCTGAGGCGTGAAATTACACAGGTACTTTGGCCAGTGAGACTCCAGCTCTCTTGGGAAAGCTGGTCCTATCTCTTCCTAGGTGAGAAGATACAGCTTTCACGGACAGCTCAGCACCTAACTAATGAGGCCTTGGCCAGCCAGTGACCCTTAAACAGTACACACACATCTGTCACTGTGCCTCTCAGGAAGGGAGGGGGAAGGAGAATGAGGGAATAACATGCTACTCTTAACAAAATGGCAGACTGCGTCAGTCTCTAGCGCGTGCGTTTGCGACACACCCCTTCATGGAAACTAGACCCCGATGGAATATTTTATCAGAATAATGCACACTGCAAAAATGGTTCAAGAATTAACTTAAAGTATCTGCTACTGATGGCTTGGTGTCAGATACCACAGCATACCTTCAGAGGTCTAGGGGCATCTATGCCTTGAAGGGTTGTGGCTGACTGGTGTATGATTTACACTGAATTTTACCCTTTTTTACATTGACGAGTTAAAGTTTTGCTAAACCCCCAACAGTAAAATTAGTCTGTATATTTAGTAAAGCATGCTTGTTGTACTCACTGTGGAACCTAAGGGGTTAATCCTCTGCATTGTGTAAAAAGGCTGTTTGCTCCGGTCTTCTGTCATCCTCCCTTCTACTGTACCCAAACCATCTGCTGATAGAACAGAGCAAGCTGCACATGCTCAGTTTAGTGTGTATTGCTAGAGAGTCGTTTTTTTGGGGGGAGGGCATGTGATCAGCACAGAGCCAACCTGCGCTGTCCAGACTGTCCTAGGAGGCTGCAGGACCCCTGACCTTCAGTCAGAGCATTAAAACGCCTCCTACAAGCTCTAACGTGATCTGCTGGACACTAATAGAAGTCACAAGACTGCTATATACTGCTGATGAGAAAAGGTCATTAGCAGTATTATGTTTACTAAAACAATTACATTTCCATGTTGAGTGTACTGTGGGAGACCAGATATAGTGAATGCAGGGTCCTGGGTTTAGTATCACTTTAACTTAATGGTGAACAGTGTGCACGTTTTTTTTTATTTCAATGTTTGTTTTGTTCAGTTATCAATACTGATAGATATGTCAAATGTGCTTTCTTTCCAGATCCTTACTTAAACTTTCAGAGTTATTTGAAAAGCTCAAAGTAAGTGTGTGTGTTTTTTGTTTTTATTGTTTTTTGTTTTTATCTGTCAACTTAATAATGCATAATCAAAACTGTCTCCAATTGTACTTTGATTTTCTGTGTGTTTTGTCACAATCTGTCTGCAGAAAGTAGAAGCAAGGGTTGCATCAGATGAGGACCTAAAACTTTCTGAGCTATTAAGATACTACGTGCTTAATATTGAGGCAGCCAAGGTAATCTATTTCTATTTCAGAATTTTCAGCAATGTTAAAATAATAAAAAAATTTGCAGGTTATTGATAGCAGCAGATAGACGTGAATTTCTGTGTAATGTTCAATTCCTCTTACAGGACCTTTTGCACAGGAGGACAAAAAGTCAAGTGGAATATGAAAATTCCAATAAAGCTCTTGATAAAGCTCGATTAAGAAGCAAAGACGTGAAGCAAGCTGAATTGCATCAGCAAGAGTGCTGCCAGAAATTTGAGAAGCTCTCAGAGTCTGGAAAGCAAGGTAGACTAGTGCTGCTTCAGTTTCTACATCCTACTGCGCTCTGCATACTTCATTAACTCTGTCAATTGTGACGTTTACATTCTCCCTGGCTTCTTGCAGGAAACATGTAGAAAAAGTGTTTTTACTGATGTTTTTGCTCCTTAACATGGCATTCATCTTCTTCCTTTTGGAAGAATAGGTGAAGTTCTCCTAAAACTTACTGACAAGGGAATATACATGGGCATCTGTGAAAAGAGAAATTGTAAGTTACAAAAGTAGACCATGATATGATGTCCATTGTTGCTCTGGAAAGTGCTTAACCAGATATGGAAAAGAGAAACTAGAAATCCATGTCAAGACATTAGGCTCAGTTCATTGAAGTCTTCCTTCTGCAAAATAAATAAATAAATATACCCATTGCATTGCATCTGTGAACAGTGAATTGCAAGTACAATGTCAGTCCTCCAGCTCTATGTTCATACTGACGTACAAACTTTCACTGGAATAATCATCTTGGACTACAAAGTGCCTTTGATCATTGCACTTGTGTTCCATTGAAAACTACAAGTGTGCTTGCCACGTTCACAAATCTGACAGCATGATGCAGCTGTGTGGGCAGAGCCCTACCCAGCTGCACTAAATCTGAGCTGTTGTGGGGGAAAATAACCCCCCACTCTTTTTGTAGGGGAGGGGGGTTGGTCTTTAAAAATAAAAAAAAAAAAAGCATCAGTTTAGCCAACTCCACCTTTTTAACTATGAAAATACAATTTATTTATTTTTTTTGGCCCTCCACTGCTGAAAACAAGTTATGGCAAATTGTTACAGTTTAGGAAATTGAGCCATCATTGTTTGTTTTATGTAAAGGTTACAGAATCGGGTTAAGAACTGATGCACACTGGAAACATTGACCATCTCTGCCTCCAAATGGCCCTAAATGCCTATGGGGTAGATTTACTAAAACTGGTGCACTCAGAATCTGGTTTAGCTGTGCATGAAAGCCAATTTGTTTTTAACATCATCTTGTTCAATTACACATTTGGCAATAACCCACTGCGTGTGCGTGACTAACATGCAGGGGCATTTGGAGGCAAAAAAAAGCCAGATGCCCCTAGGAGCAGCATTTAAAAACGACCAGTGTGCAAAAAAAAATTTTTTACTGTTCTACAAGCTTTTTTACTGCACCAAAATTTTTTTTTTCATACACTTTTCTTTTTTCTCTAGTGATTGAAGTTTTAGGATGCATACACAAGGCTAGAATTGTTTTACACTGCAATATATTGCTAAGTAACTGTTTCTATATGGCAAGAATCTGCTGCTTCTCTGGAAGAGGTCTTCTTCTTTTTTTTTTTTTTTTATGGCTTAATCTTATTGTCAAGTTGACTTTGTTCTGCATGTCTTGCTCTGTGATGCAGGACACCTTTGGTCAGTGGAGGCATCATTTTAAGACTCTCCTTGCTGATTGTGTGAGCTTTCAAGACGGAATTAAACTGACAACAGTTCCAACCTGTAGTTAGAGCTGCCTCATGTTCTCAGAAATGCTTGGGTCCCGTTCACACCTGTGCATTAAAAAAACAAAAATCTTAGCTACTTAGTTATCTGTGATGCACTTTTCATGAAAACACTTGTGTTTTTGGATGCTTTAGCATTAAACTATATAACAATGCACATATATGAACTAGCCCTAAAAAACTGAATTCCGATAGTAAGCTTTATTTTTTTTCCAAGAGTGGAGTTGCATTTTAACTGGGCAAGTAAGGATTTAAAATCTGCTGGATTGTAGATACCTGAAAAAATTCTTCAGTACTAAATGAGTGCTGGGCAGCAATGTTCATTTCACTATTCTTGGAACTTTATTAATGTGGGAACATATTTAGGTGCTTGCAGCAGCTTAATTTGTGGCAGCGCATGAGTATTAGATCCTTATTAATGTTCATTGTGGTTTGTGTTGGTGTTTTGGGTGTTTTTTTTTTTTTTTTTTTTTTTTTTTTTTTTTTTTTATATCACCAGATAAGAATAAAGAAAAATGGCAGAAATTAATCCTGTTTTATAGATGAAATAAAGTAAAACCAGTGCATTTCAGAGGTTGCTTCTACAGAGTTTAAAGGGAACACAGTTGTTAAGTTGGCAAGTCTTAGTGCAAGTCTTCAGTACCAGTACATTAATTTTGGCTAGATTTAGGTAACTCTTACTACACCCACTCTAAGAACCTGTCATGGCTACAACAGATTCCTGAAGAATTACTGCCAGTTTGTAGATTAGGAAACTGGCAGTAATTCTCCTAGATTGTAAGCTCCAAGGAGCAGGGCCCGCCTATCGTTCTTGTATTGTTGCTGTATTGTCTCCTGTTGTATTGTAAAGTAAAACTTTTGGCGCTATATAAATCCTGTATAATAATAATAATTGAGACCAACTCAAAACTGGTAAACAGAGATGCCAGTGCTCAGAGTGGGGCAGTTTTGAACTGGCATGACTCACCCTAGCCCCATTAAGCTGCCAGCTGGGAGATTTCCAGTCCAAAAGCTTAATATGAAAAAAAGGCGAGTATTCTGGCTGACATTACCTGAAAATGGCAATGCCCATATTTGGGCAGTGATGAGTCACACGGGAAATTAATCTGATGGGGAACTAGTTTCCAAGTTCTTTATCCTGGGCTCCACCCACCCAACTGTATGCCCGCCCACTGCTATTCATGGTTAATCACAGGCATGGTGAACCTGATGGGGAACAACTAATCTCTCTGTTCCCCATTAGGCTGTACTGCCACCCACATTTCTATAAAACTCCTCTGCCATTCTCCTGTCTATGTGATGGGACACAGTGGCCTGGGAGGGAACTTTGTATTGCTGAGCTGCACTGAGGACACCGTGGGCTTTATTTACTAAAGCTGGAGAGTGCAGAATCAGGCTCGCTTCTGCATAGAAGCAAAGCAGCTTCCAACCTCCGCTTGTTCATTTAGGCTTTGGCAATAATACCTGGAAAGTGATTGGTTTCTATGCAGAAGTGAACCTGATTTTGCACTCTCCAGCTTTAGTAAATAAAGCCCACAGTGCCAACTATGGACACTCCAGCCTCAGTGCCATCAACTTCTGACAGTTGCATGAATCTGTCGCAAGTGCAAACAATTTTGAGGTAGGAGGCAATTCTTGAGTTTCGGACACTCTTTATGAATTCCTCCTTCCAGTGGCTCCTTCATTAAAAGGATTCGTCTTTTTATTTCCTTCTTTCATTATCCATCTCTTGTGCTCAATTACCTTTTTCAGTTGGTTCATTGGAAAATCCTCGCTTTAGTTTGTACTCTGCGCCCATCCTGCATTTTAGAGCACTACGTTTCTTATATACTCTTGTCACTATCCCATTAAAAAATGCCAGACTCTCCAGCAGAAGAAGCGGCATAAAAAATGCTCATAGTAGCTCTTATTGCACAAAAGTTTAGGAGAGTTTCTGGACATGGCATTTACTTAAATTTTTTTTTTTTTTTTTTTTTCTCCCAAAACTGTTTGCATTTTTTAAGCCCAGTGTACATGGACCCGAAGGCTGACCATACATTATAAAATTTTCTTGTGCTATTTTTTCACTTTTAGATTTACCAAAGCCATATAATATGAGGCCAAACCTAAACACTTCATTTGTATGCCATCAGGCAGGCCCTTGCACTACATAATGCAAACAAGAAAAATATGAGCGCTGGGTGACAACAGGCGAAATACAGGTGGGAGCAGCCAGCATAGAAGTGGAAACAACCTCAGATCCTCCAAGAAATGCCAGAAATAAAAGTACAAATGTGGCGCTCAATAATAGTTACAGTATGCAGATGGTATCTCACAGTATTTAAACTTAATTGATATGATATATGCGGATTAATGTGACTGCTGTGACACAGTGAGCAATAATAAACTTTCGTGACTGTGGTACTAAATAATATTAACAGCAACAAAGCTTATTGGATATAGTTCATACGGAGTATTAGTATTCCATGAGAAAGGGTATCTCCCTTTCAAAGTGCCCTTTGAAAATGTGTTATTACACGAAACGCGTTAGGGAGATACCCTTTCTCATGGAATACTAACTACATTACCTACAAACTACCTCAGATGTAAGTGCTGGCTCTGTTTATTTACCTGTACCTTGATGTTAGTTACTCTTATATGATCATTAAACATACTACACTATTGGAGTTCTTTTCTCTCTGGGCTCATTTATCTGGTACTGAGAGTCCTTATCCTGAAGGATCTTTTCCTGGTTTCCATCTGCTTGTGTGATCCCCCCGATGTCTGGAAATGTTACTGTTGGACACGGTTAACCTGAGACGTGGAAACCTGCTCTGGATAGATGACAGCTGGTGAAGCACCTCCACCTGATTATCACATCCGCATGCTGAGTTCCCACCCCCAGAGTACCAAGGAGTAGGTCTTATTTACTCCAACGCACATTTATCTGTGCTATCTGGTTAGTGCATAGTATGCTCATTGTTTCCAGCCACAGCAGTCACAAGTTATCCGCTGTTCTTTGTGTCACTACAGTCACATTACTCCGTATGAACTATATCCTACAAGTTTACGTTACTATGGGATACTATCTAATCGGTGCATAGTATGCTCATTGCTTCTAGCTACAGCAGTTACGAATATTAATCTTTGCTTATTGTATATCCACAGTCTCATCACTCCGCATGAACTATATCCAATAAGCTTTGTTGCTGTTAATATTATTTAGTACCACAGTCATGGCAGTCACGAAAGTTTATTATTGCTCACTGTGTCACAGCAGTCACATTAATCCGTATATATCATATCAATTAAGTTTTAATACTGTGAGATACCATCTGCATACTGTAACTATTATTGAGCGCCGCATTTGTACTTTTATTTCTGGGCTTGCACTACATGGTTGAAGGTAAATCCAATGGAAATTGAATAGGAAAATTTGTACAATGTATGGCCAGCCTTATATCTTTCTGTGCCCAAGTTAATATCTAATTGGTTCAGCATTTACTGCAAAACCTGTATATTGCAACAAATATCCAGACTCCAGACAAATATCCAGAATGTTGTCTATGAAAAGGGAGAAAAAGGAGTTCTCTAATGTAAGCTCCAAGGAGCAGGGCCCTCCTATCCCTCTTGTATTGAACTGTTTTGTTGCTGTATTGTCTCCCGTTATATTGTAAAGCGCTGAGCAAACTGTTGGCGCTATATAAATCCTGTAAAATAATGATGAGTAGTGTGCTTGACCTACAGGGTTCCCCCCCCCCCCCCCCCCTTTTCCTGCATTCTAAAAATGTAATGCCTGCATTATGTTTTGTGTCCATTTTATTGTGTTACAATGATCTTGCTTGTTTTGCAGAGTTAATTGCCTTCAAGAAAAAAAGAGTGTCTGCTTTTCGGAAAAACCTTGTAGAAATGACAGAACTAGAAATTAAGCACGCCAAGGTTTGTTACCACCACTCATATAATACCTTATTTTCTTAAACCCTGCTGTCACAAAACAATCTAAAATATCACAAGTATCATAGCAAAGATACTCCAGCGCCTTTTCTAGTGGAGCTACTAGTAGGCTTAAGCACTACTTGAAGCTTGTTGAAAGCCTTCTGTCTGCTTTTTTAAATTTACAGTCAGCACTCCCAATGGTGTGTCTAATCTAAATCAATGAACAAATTGTAATATATATTGCATCTTACATGTCCAAATATATGGTGGCTGCATTAGTTTTAATTTTCAGGGTTTTTTTCATTTCTGCATTGTGTAATCCTGCCAGTAACACTTCTGTCCTAAGGTGACAACACTCAATGTATAATTCTGTGTCCCCCTAAAGTAGAAAGCATGTTAATTCTACAGTGCCCCTCTCCACATCTCTATAACATGGGGGGAGGGGTATTTAATGGTTTATAGGGGTAACCGTGGCTGGGAGATGAGACTACTTGAGATAACATTACAGTTGAGACTCTGTATAAAATCTACATACAAATCTTTTAAACCCTTCTTTTAGTCACAATAGAAAACCAAATGTTTAAACTGTATAAATGTATAATTTAAAAAAAAAAAAAGTAGTTTTGAAATTGATGGCAGCTAAAAGAGGAAGGGCTGGAAGAACATTTTGCAATTGGCAACAGGTCCGTAACATTAGTGGGTACAAAAAAACTGCATTGTAAGAGTCTGAGTGTCTCAAGTAAAGATGGGAAGAGGTTAATCAATCTGAAAAGCTATATCGCTAACAATTGTCAAACCGTTTCAGAATAATGTTCCTCAATGTAAAATTGCAGAGTCAGACAAACTGATATTTGACATTTTTTTTGCAATCATGGGTGCCGTGTCCTCTGAACAGAGTGCCCATAGGCCTGAAGATCTTTCCTCTTTAGTCCAAAGGCCTGCATCACTGATGGTATGGTGGTCCATTAATGCGTATGAAACGGGCAGCTTGCACATCTGGAAACACACCATCAGTGCTGAAAAATGTATCCAGGTATTAGAGCAGCATATGTTCCCATCTAGAGGATTTTTTATTATATTTGGGAAGGCCTTGCATATTTCAGCAGGATAATGCTACACCTCATACTGCATCTATGACAACAGCATGGCTTCGTATTAGAGTCCGGTTGCTTAACTGGCCTGCCTGCAGTCCAGACCTTTCACCTACTGAAAATGTTTTGGCTCATTCTGAAATGAAAAATACAACAAAAACGACCCAGGACTATTGTAGTTATAATCCTATTTCAGGCAAGACTGGGACAATAAGCCTTTCCCAAAACTCTGCAAATATCTGGTACACGAGGAGACCAGCTGCTAGAGTGCTGTTAAGAGAGGATGCTACACCGTGGTAAATATGGCCCTGTAATTTTTGAGACCTGTTGCTGCCATCAATTTCAAAATTCCGTTTTATTTTTTTTTCCTTACATTTTCTCAGTTTTAAACCTTTTGATATGTATTTTTTTTATTTTCTATTGTGAATACAATGCGGATTTGAGATTTGCAAATCGTAGCATTCCATTTTTTTTTTTTTTTTTTTTTTTTTTCCGTGTAGATTTTACACAGCATCCCAACTATATAATTGGCCTAATATATTTTAAACCTTCAAAGCTCAAAAAAAAAAAAAAAGCCTAGGTCTTCTTACAGCAGGCATGTTTGAACACTATGGCAGTTGTAAACCTACTAAGATATGCTGATCATCCTGCATATACATGAAACAAATATCTGCCTGCAAGTCAGTAGTAGTAGAACTACAGTAATAGGCAGTAATGGAATATTATAGTGGGCTTAAAATTTTGCAACTGGAAAGAGGAGCATTTTTATACATCAGTTATAAACTTGACATCACTTAAAGAGGCAGAGGAAAAAAAAAAGGCTTCTATGTCAGACTTGATGGACACAGAAGGACCTCTTAATACAATATAAATGTTGGACCTGTGTACGAGCTGACACAATTACTAGTGGACACCTAGTTGATACCGATGCCTTTTATATTGTGTAGCGGGTGTGGTATATGATCTAGTTCAGTGTTTTTCAACCTTTTTTTGTGCAAAGGCACACTTTTTTCATGAAAAAAAATCACGAGGCACACCACCATTAGAAAATGTTAAAAAAAATTACCTCTGTGCCTATATTGACTATATATAAAGTAATTCTCTTGAATAGGAATCAAACACAAAGAAATTATTTTATAATTACTTTATTATGAAATAATAAAGTATTTTATAATTGGACCCGGGGGCGGACCAAGAGTAGATGAATGATGTGTATGTGTCATCCATAGTAAGTATAGTAATATTCCCCCATATAGTAATTCATCCCCCATAGTAATTCATCCCCCATATAGTAATTCATCCCCCATATAGTACATCCCCCCTATAGTAATTCATCCCCCATATTAATTCATCCCCCATATTAAGTCCCCAAGCCCCCCCTGTCTCAATTCACTTACCTTTGCTCCGCGCGTTCCTCTCGCCGTTCCGGTGTAGCATGAAAATCTGTCTCCTATGAGGATCTGTCCCCCTCGACGTATCTGCGCATGTGCCAGTTTTAGGCATTAGCAGCCGATCGGCGATCTCCGGCACATGCGCAGATACGTCGAGGGGGACAGATCATCCTGACAGTATCGCGCTCCGCGGGCTGGATTAAAAGGTCCGCCGGGCCGTATACGGCCCGCGGGCCGTAGTTTGCCCATTGCTGTTCTAATGATTGGTCTATTTGTGAGCCGAGGCCACATGTTACGGATGAAATTGCAATTTTTCCCACGGCACACCAGACAATATCTCACGGCACACTAGTGTGCCGCGGCACAGTGGTTGAAAAACGCTGATCTAGTTGGGAAAAATATGGTGTTCTAGTTGATTCACTGTTGGAAAGGTTTTTGTAGGCTTCAATCTAGGCTGCTAGCAAAGACAAGCTGGCCTTCAAAAGCAGAGCTTTTAACTTTTTTTTTTTTTTTTTTCTAATATTAGACAAAAAAAAAAAAAAAAAAGGTTTAACAACTCCAATTAGTATGTTTGTTTTATCTTTTTGATTTGAGCAATTAAAAGGACAAAATGTTAACATTTTGACATCTGACCTCTTGTGTCATTGTATTTCAATTTTTAGAAACCTGTCATAATAAACCTGAATTACTACTTTGCTTTGGGGTGAGGGTAAATGTTTAAGTGGAACTTAAAATGTGAAAAACATGACAGAGACCCTATTCAGCTGTTGTGTAACTGCTTCTCCCTTCTTTTCACCGTAAATGAACACTGAGCCGCACATGGGTGGGAGTAATGACCTTTTGGCCCAGCCACTCAAGTGACCAAAGGTTCCAAGCCCAGAAGGAAGTCAGAGGAGATGAAAGCATCTGCTTCTGTTTAAACCACTTCCCGTCCAGCCCATGTATATAAACGGCCAGACGGGAGCAGTGCCAAAGCGGGTGGCCATTTATAAACGTGTCCGCATTTTACTGCAGCACACCGATCGCTGTACAAAACCTCTGTGAGGTCCCAATTCATGTGATCACTGATTGGCCAATCAGTGATCACATGAGTAGTAGTAGTAAGCAAGATCTCACTTCCTGACATCATTGCTTACTACTTGTGAAATCTGTGAATGATCAGAGGTCACATGGTACAAGGCTATCACAACAGCCTTGACCCATGTGACAAGCTGTGACCAATCGCAGCTCACACAGTATTTCTCAATGACTGCAAAAATGCAGCCAGAGAGAAGGAGAAATGATTGCTTTTACACCCATAAAGGCTGTAAAAGCAATCGTGTAAGAAAAGAAAACAAATCTTCATCACTCCCCACAAGTAGTACAGTGGCACTATGGTGACTATGTACTGCTAGGGTGACAGTATGTTTAAAAAAAAAATAACATAATTGTAAATTTTTTTTGAAATTATAATTTTTGGATATAAACTAATTTTGGGGGGTTTTTTTTGTGGGTTTTTTTTTTTTTTTTTTTTTAAACATAACATAGCTGAATAAATTTTGGCCAATATTTATGAAAGATTTATTTGCAAAATCTTAAAAAAAACCACTTTTTTTTTTTTTATTTTTTTTTTTTTTTTTTTTTTTTTTTCAAAATGTTTGGACTTTTATATTTTTATATAGTAAAAAAAATAAAAATCCCAGTGGTTAAAAAAAAAAACCACCAAAATAAAGTTTCTGTCTAAAAAAAAAAATGCTAAAAAATTCATATGGGTACAGTGTTGAATGACCACGCAATTGTCATTGAAAGTTTGATAGCACTGAAAGTTGAAAATTGGCGTGCACAGGAAGGGGGTAAAAGTGTCTGGACTTGAAATGGTTAAAATCCTTTTAGTGTGGTGTCCTCTCTACAGCCACCTGATTTTGTCCTGAATGGCTGTCTTTCAGTGTTGTGAATGTTAACAGTAGCACCTCCTAATCAAGGAAATTTGCACAGCTTGCCTGACATATACATACATAATGTATATGGTGCTGTATCCCAAAAGGAAATTTTTTTTACTAAACTGCAGATTTAACCCTTGACTTCAGTGCTGGCCCAGTTGTTTATTCTTGCTGAATATTCAGACATCTAATATTTAATTTTTTTTCTGCAACACTTAACAGCATAAGCCTTCTTCATGCTCACAGATCAGCTTTTATCACAAGTGTATTCATTATACAAATACTTATTTGATGCATTGTCTGTGTATAACTAGTACTGTCCCTTCTCTGATTTTAACAGAATAACATCTCATTATTACAAAGCTGCATTGACCTATTCAAGAACAGCTAAACCTAATGGGATGCTTTGACCTGAAAGCACTGATTGCACTTCGGAAAGGCTGAGGTACATCGGCAAGAAGAGCAGCTGTATTTTCACTTATGATCTTCAAAAAGAGAAAAGATTATCGTGATCTAAAATGGCTATATTTTGATAATTTTGGAAACGTTTAAATGTGTGTCTCCCTATATAAAAAAAACGCAATATTTCTTTAATCTTTTGGTAAGAAGCCTCTCCATCTATTTTTCAAATTTTATTTCTTATTTGAAGAGTTTTGTTTTTTTGTTTTTTTTGGAAAATAAATTTTGCTTTTGTTGTATATATTAATATAAATACATACACCTGTGTTTTGTTTTTTATATTTTTTTTTTTTTTTTTTTTTTTTGTCACTTGTCTTGAAACTGAAAAGAAATTACAATAAAATCAAGGATGGTTAATTGACCTAATTTAATGTAAATGTTCTGAAATTTTTTTTAAAAAAAATACACGGCGGGTAAAGTAAGCATTGAACATGTCACCATTTTTTCTTAGTGAATATATTTGTAAAGGTAGTGTGTGTCTATGGATTACATGGCTTGTTACCGACGTGGTGAAAATTTCAAAGAACCAAAAACGAATAAGTTCAGAAATTTATGTTTACATATGTGTAATAAAATGGAATGACTCCGGAAAAGTATTGAACACGCTAACTTAGTGCTGTCCCGGGCCTCACGGCCCACTATAAAACCAGTCTGATCCAGGCGAACTAGGCCCGCAACAGGATCCTGCAAGTGCAAAGTGAGGATCTTGGCCAATAGCTTAGTGTCAGAATTTAATAAAGAAATGGATCTATAATTAGCACAGTGAGGGTCTTTCCCAGGCTTAGGCAGAATTTTGATAGGAGCCAAAAGCACTTCCAGGGACAATGAATTGACTAAGATAATGGAATTAAGGTAAGTACATAAAGGGCCAGCAAGAAGTGAGAATTTTTTTTATAATACTGATTGGTGAAGCCATCCAGTCCCGGGCTTTTACCCAAGGGAAAGGCGGCAACCACCTTCGGCAATTCCTCCACTGTGATCGACCGTTCAAGATCTTCAATAATCATAGAGGACAGGGAGAGGGGAATCTTTTTGGTAGTTGCATATGGAATGAAGCCAAGCTCCGGGGTCCACACTGGGAGGTGTACCAGGGAGACCATATAGAGAAGCATAGAACTGCTGAAATAAATCTGCAATCGAGTGGGAATCTTCAACGAGACCATCTCTCGTTGTCCGGTTATAAACATGGCGTAATGTCTGACGCTTCTTCAATTGTCTAGCTAAAAGGCGACCACATTTGTTCCCGTATTCATAGAAACGGTGAGCTTAAAATCTAATTTTGTCTAAAGCTTTATGGTCCAAACATTGAGAGAGAGTAACACGTAAAGTGTCTAAGGCTTGGGCATCTGAGGGGTCAAAATATTGTTTGTGTTTTAGTTTCCAGAGCATGAATGCATCCAGCAATTCCTCAATCTCCCTCATCTTCTCCTTCTTGCACCTAGAACCATGGGCGATCAACTCCAAGCAAGGGTCCAGAGAAACATTACAATAACCCCCTAGAATCACCATACCCTCTCTAAAATCTTTCAGTTTTTTTAGGGTAGTAGACAAAAAAAAATCAACAGTGCGGGCATTCGGAGCATAAAGTGTATGTGTGACCATGCAAGAACCCTTCAAAAATATAAAATGACCCTCGGTCAATCAATTGAGGCAAAAGGAATGGACAGGTTTCTCGGATGGCAATTAAGACTCCCCTGGCCTTGGTCACTGGGGAAACACTATGATACCACTGATCAAAAATCGTAAGGGGCATATGCGGGGTCGATTTGGCAGTGAAGTGCATCTCCTGCAAGAAAACTACATCTGAGGACAGATGTCGCAATTCCTGCCAAAGGTGACCCCTCTTCTGGGGAGAACACAACCCTCGAATGTTATAGGTCAAGACATTCAGAGTGTTCAATTTACTAGCCATAAGTACAGAATATGAGAAGGCGCATATTCAGACTGGCAGCTATATTGAATACTCCATTCAACCAAATGAAGTACACAGGGTAAATATAATAAACCAAAAAAAGAAACTCTGCCTGTATGGACATGTGGATGGAAGCCAACATAAACCATAAAGAAAGAAAAAAAAAAAACGTATAGCACAATCTGTAATTAGGCTGATCGTCTAAAAAGGTGGCCTCTGTGGGGAGAAAAAAAAGACCTCTCCCCAAAGGGGCCCCCCTTAACTGCAGAAACGCAGAGTACAAATCCTCCACCAGAGGACCGGCCTAGGGTGTGGGAAGTGACTAATGGCGTAGCAGAGATGCCGCCTGGCAATCACAGGACAAAATAAAAGAACAGTATCGTGCAAAACAGTATAAACAGCAACATTATAATACACATGTGTATACATAAATGCCTCCCATTGTAATCAACAGTAGCCACAAAGGTATTTTGAAGAAACTTAGTGCAAACTTTAAGGCAAATATGTTCAGCCTATACCACACAGAAGAAAAAATACAGATCATGATAGATCAATCAGAATGGGAGGAGATCAAGTCTGGAGCCCTGCGACCCATGCGATTCCTCTTTTAGGACCCTGTAGAAGCTTGTTGCCAGTGGTCTTGGTGTCGTGGATGGAACTGTGCAACCGCCAATCTGGAAAATCAGCCGAAGAAAGATCCAAGGTGGAGAGGAAGTGTGACAGGTCATCTTTGGTACATAATGTCACAGTTTTTCCATTTCGGGATGTAGTCAGATGAAAAGGAAAGCACCTGGGCTGCATGTAGAACATCAAGTAGAGGGCAAAACACAGCGCCGCTGCATAAGGGTCCGCCTGGATAAATCCAGGAAGATTGCAATAGTAGCCCCGTCAAAAAATCAATATGAGGGAGAGAGCGTGCCGCTTTCATATTCGCCTCTTTCAGCATCTTTTAGATTATCAGCATCTTGAGGGACAGGCAAAAGGGCTCTATGAACCCTATCCAATTCAATTGCGTCAGAAGCAGTCACCCAAAATCTGGCGAAACAGGCCTTGGACAATAAGAAGGTCTGATGCACAGGTAGCTTCAGGCAATCCGCGAATGCAAATATTCTGTCTCCTGTCCCTGTTTTCTTGATCATCAAGCTGGTCCAGTAAAGTATTAAAATGCATCTTCATGATTGAGAACAGTCTCCTATATGGTAGTAACAGTTTGCAAAGCTTCATTATGAGCGGTCTCCATAGCCTCCACCCTATTTCCCAGTGCCACAGTGTCTTCTCTGAGCCCCTCTATGGCCTGCTTATATGAAAGTTCCACAGCAGTAATCAACTGCTGTATATCGGCCTTAGTGGGGAGAGCTCTAATATGCACCCTAATGTCCCATTCACCCTTGGCAACATCCAGCTCCATCAGAGGGGAAGACCCAGCAACCGATCTAGGGGGGGATGAGGGGCTAGGGCACTGTGCCTGCGAGGAGAACGATGGTGCAGGAGAGCCGCCACTGCCCGCAGGAGAGCAATACAGGGCAGCCTCGTGGTCGGGCGCCATCTTGGCCGCAGTCCCGGAGCCGGCCTGGTGTGAAGCAAAAAAAGTTTGGAGCCCGCTTGCCTGCGATCTGCCACCTCCGGGTGGGAGGCGGTGCGGTGCTTGGGAGGCATGTAGTGGTCGAGATAGGAAAGCTGCAAACCGCTGCTGTAAGATTGATTCTGTCCCGGGTGGCTGGAGCTCAATGCTCAGACGTTTTCACACCATGCCGCTCAGGGCACACCCCCGCCACCAAACCTCGATGACTTGGAGAGGATCGGCCAAAAGGTGTGGGCCAGAATCCCTCCTGAGATGTGTGCAAACCTGGTGGCCAACTACAGGAAACGTCTGACCTCTGGGATTGCCAACAAGGGATTTGCCACCAAGTACTAAGTCATGTTTTGTGAAGGGGATCAAATACTTATTTCCCTCATAAACATGCAAATCAGTGCATAATTTGTTAGACATGCATTTTTTTTTTTAGTTTTTGGTTGCTATTCTTTCTCTCAGTGTTACAATACACCTACCATTCTATTTTTAGACTGATCATTTCTTTGTGAGTGGGCAAACAACATTCAAAATCAGCAGGGGATCAACTACTTATTTCCTGCACTGTAGATATAGAGTATATATATATATATATATATATATATATACATACATACACTCACTCCACTAGCTGTCTGAAGATATCCGACATTAAGTTGTCCTTAACAGATCCTTTTTGATCCTGTAAGTTGTGAAGTGGGGTTTCCATGAATGAGACTTGTTTTTCCAACACATCCCACAGATGCTCAATTGAATTGAGACCTGTAGAATTTGGAGGTGAAGTCAACATCTCTACCTCGTTACCCAACAATAGTCTGATTTATTTTTTTTTCTCACAAGCTTTTGGAAAATTACAACGTATTTTTTTTACACAGTTGTTAAATTATATATTGCTCACACAAGCCATGGATATATATGGAATTACACCCCAAAATACATTCTCCTACTTCTACTGAGTATGGGGATACCACGTGTGTGAGACTTTTTGGGAGCCTAGCCACATGCAGGAGCCTGAAACCCAATGACCACTTTGAAAGCCTGAAGATGTGTAACTTCCTCATTTCACTTCCTCACTACCTATCACAGTTTTGGAAGCCCTGAAATGCCAGGAAAGCACCAAACCCCCCAAATGATCCCTTTTTTGAAAGTAGACAGCTCAGTGAATTTAAAAAAGAGGCTTGGTAAGCATTTTGCATATCTCATTTTTTTCTCACAAGGTTTTGAAATATAAAAAAAAGAAAAGAAAACATTTTTTTTTCTTTTCTTTCTTCATTTTCCAAAAACTTGTGGCGACAAATGAGATCTGCAAAATACTCAACATGCTTCTTATTAAATTCCTTGGGCTGTCTACTTTCCATTTCAGGGCCTCCAAAACAGTGATAGGTAGTCAGGAAGTGTAATGAGGAAATAAAGCCCTTTAAAAGCCTGAAGGTGCTTATAGGATTTTGGG